ACATATGTATGTATACATATATATATATATATATATATATATATATATATATATATATATATATATATATTATATATATATATATATATATATATATATATATATATATATATGTATATATATATATATATATATATATATACATATATATATATATATATATATATATATATATATATATATATATATATATATATATATATATATATATATATATATATATATATATATATATATATATATATATATATATATATATATATATATATATTTCTTTCTAGCGAGGGACTAATTTTTGACTTTTTTTTCCTTGCAAGTTACTGAAAATGTTTTAAAATATAAATGTTTTGTATGCAAACGCGAGTGTATTGATAATTTATAAATTCTCACATTCTATCAATAACATTTTTTTTTTAACTTACTTTTTTAAATCAAAAATTACTCAATGTTACCTTAAGTTACACTCAAGTTACCTTATGTTACACTCAAGTTATCTAAAGTTAGCGCTGCTACCGGTAACTAAAAGTAACTGTTTGGCAAGTTACCGAAATCGTCGAACCCTATATAGACCGTAAGAGTCTATAATCTATAGAGTAAGATCAAAGAAAAGAAAATTAAATACCGCATTTTTTATAATTTATCGTTTCTTGATCTTGCGTACTATTAAAAATTTAAGTTCAATTGAACGCTGTATTTCGAAAACGTGTCGAGTCGCACTTTTTTCAGTTATTTGAAAAAAATAATTTTTTTTTACGATAAGATAAAATTTTTTAGATAATATAAAGATTTTTTTAGAGAAAAAAAGATTTTTTAGATAAAAGAAAAATAAAATTTTTTACAGGAGAAACATTTATCATTCTCTTGTAAAATTTTAATTTTGTGACTCGTCACGTTTTTGAAATACGTTATTGAAATAGCGTTCAATTAAGTTTTTCATTCAAATTGACGTTTTCATTCAATTTTTTTATTCAAATAGTTTTCCAATAAAAAGTGAAACAAAAAAAAATTGCTTTAATATATCGAATTATATTTCTTTTAGTTTAAGAAAATGCTTAAAAAGGTTGAAGCAAAAAAATAGCTGGTTTCTATTAAAATGTCTTTACTATTAGACAAAAAATTTAATAAAAACGAATTAATATTTATTTTAATATACTTAAAGTAGTAAAATTATTAATATAAAATTGTTAATAAAATAACAATTCAATTTATTTATAATAAGTTAACTTGGTGCAACGTTTTGAAAAACAAAGATAAAAACTAGGCTGTTTTGTTAAAAAAAAAGAAGGATGAAAAAAATCGCTTTAACGTCTTTTTCTTTCGCTTTAACGACCTTCTAAATTATTGGCTTCCACGCAGAGATTTAAAGTAGTTTAAATTCCAAAGTGTTTTACTTTGAATGAAAACCTCCGCGAGAAAGAACAAATGATCATCTATTAAGAAGATAAATTTAGCGTGACGTACTTGACAAAAACATTACTTTTAACTTAAAAGTAATGTTCTTAAAAGTAACTTAAAATTTAAGAATAAACGGGTTTATAGTCTCAGTTCCGTTCCGTAAATTATCACAAAATCGTTTAGTAAGTGTAAGATTGTGCTCCGAGATGAACATCTTAATTAAAACTATATTTACGTTATTGTAATTTTATAAAGTCATTATACAGAAAACAAGCTAAAAGAAACGTTGTAGTTTATCATTTAAGTAAGATAAATATTTCGAACTTAAGTTTCTGATAAATTTGGCTAGGAAAGATATTTAGCGTGAAAAAATTATTATATCAAATATTTTTATCAAAGTAATATCAATATGTCATATTCTGCTTCTCAAATTTTTTCTCAAATTTTCTTAAATTCTAGAAATGTTTACTTTTCTAAACAATTTTGAGATAATTTGCGGAACGGAACTGAGGCTATAAATCCGTGTATTGCCAAAAAAAATGCTACACTAAAAAAAAGTAAATTATAAAATGTGTATAAAATTTTTACGCCCACTGCTAAACCCAAAAAAAAAAAAAACAACCTTTGCGATTAGTTTTTTTTAAGAAAAAACTAATCGCAAAGGTGTGAAAAACAAACGCGATTCGCGATTGCGATACGCTTAAATTCGAGCCCTGTCATATAAAAGTAAAATAAATTTATCAGAAGTTATAATGAGCAAATTAAAACCAATTTTTCAAGACTTGTCCAAAGTGGAGCATCTTAAAAAAAGTTCGCATGGCTTGACTCAAAATTGTAACGAATCATTCAATTAATTAATTTTGGAATCGTTGCCCAAAAAATATCTTTGTATAAAAAAAAATTGTGGAAATTGTAGTGAACTCTACTGTTATTGCATACAATAAAGGAATATTAGGACTTGCTGAAGTTTTTAAATAGCCAGACAATTTCCCAGGATATTATTTCAATCTTAGTGCACATCAATTTGACAAAAAACGTCTAAAAAATATTGAGTTAAAGTCAAGTGAAAGAGCTAAAAAAAGAAGAAAGACATTAAGATCTCTAAAAAATAGTTATTATGACAAAGAGCAAGAGATTGATAATGGTCAATTGTATTGTTCTAGCCAGTTTTGATGTTTTTAATGATTAATTTATGTTTATAACTTTTATTATTTTCAAAGTTGTTTTTATCAGTTTTCTACTTTTTGAATATTTCTAAAACTAGAACATGAACATCTCAAAAACTATAAACTCTTTTTGTTTGAAATTTTTACAGTTTATTCATTAATATTATATAAAGGGCTGGTAGTAGAATAGTTAGAAAATATTTTTTTTAGGATCCCCTATTTTACATATCCTTTTACATACCCTATTAGGATCCCCTATTTTACTTACCTTTGAACCAATTTATATACCTGTTGCTGCTCTATATCTTCCATTTTAGTTTGGCTCAATATTTTTTAAAATTTCTATTAAGGGCTCCCGACCAACTATTTCCCTATATGCTTGGAAAATTTAAAGCTTAAATCTTCAATATTACTCAAATTATTTATGTTCTTGTAACTGCACTTTTTTGCTTCTTTATGCTGACTCGGCATCTTTTAACAACAATTTTTTTTAATTATGTTTTTTATATTCAGTTTGTTAATTACTAGCTAAAAAAAGTTTCTAGTTTTAAGAAAAATATCATATTTTGAAAAATAAAAAATGTAGGGTAGTACCACTTTAAAAATACAAATATCTTTTAATTTTTTTTTTTATTTCTATTGCTAAAGATAAAACTTACATAGCTGACCATATCTTATATAATGTGTAATATTGTAACTTATTAATTCAACAACTTTTTTCTTTTAATATTAGTTTTATTCAACATCTTTTTTTTAACTAAATGACATATTTAACAATGGCGTAGGCTGGATATTTTGATGGTTTAGACATGTTTTATTCAGTCATTGTGCAAACTTCAAACTTTTGTATGTTTGTGCTTATGATGAGTTTTAAATTTTACATCTTACTAACTTTCGAACACTAAAAGCTAATTAGATGAATTTTTAAACCTGTCGATAAATTTAAAAATATCCACAAAAAAAATTATTAACTCATTGGCCTCACACTTGGGGTAGGAGGTGCAATTTTTTTAAGGGTTTTTGTTTCCAGGCTCCAAAACATTCTGAATTAGTTTAATACTAAAGTTTGGTATTTTGGAAACTTTATTTAAAGAGCCATATTATCAAAAACATAAAAAAAAGATTAAAAGCCCTTTTAATAAAAAGATGTGATAAGTTTTCAAAACTGTGGTTTCATCGAAACCTTTCTTTTTAAAATTGATCCGTATAGTATATGAGACCACGGTACAAAAAACCAGGTGATAAATTATTTTTCTTCGGACATTTTTTCTTTCAAAGTTTTTTTGCTATCGCCTGGAGATGAAAGTAACTTATGGGATATTCCCATATAACCCTGACGGAGTACTTTCTCTTAAGAAAAAGTTAAAGAAAGAGTTATAATATCTCAAACTTACGTGTGTTTTATTTGTTGCTTTGGACGCGTAAATGTTATAATTCTGAAAAATAAAGCAGCACTTACTTTTATCTTCAGTTGATACATGAAAACTTTAAAGAAATTGTTGTTATGAGAAATGTCTGTCAACTTTTCCTTTATCATGGAAATAATCCACACGACGTAGTTTACTACATTCTTGTGGTAAGAGTATGGCTCTGCTGTTATTTTCATGATTTAGAAAAATAAAAATGTTGTTTAAGGCATTATCTGTACAAACATTAATATGATGTATTATTGAAGTGTCGAGTATGTAAAAAATTTCTTCAAAATACTATCTGACAAATTTTTTGAATACAAGATATATAGTTTTATATAAAAAGTATGTAGTTCATCTGATTTTTTAGCTTTTATATATATATATATATATATATATATATATATATATACATACATATATATATATATATATATATATATATATATATATATATATATATATATATATATATATATATAGAGAGAGAGAGAGAGAGAGAGAGAGAGAGTTATTTGTATATATATATGTATATATATATATATATATACACATATATATATATATATATATATATATATATATATATATATATATATATATATATATATATATATATATATATATATATATATATATGTATATATATATATATGTATATATATATATATATATATATATATATATATATATATGTATATATATATATATATATATATATATATATATATATATATGTATATATATATATATATATATATATATATATATATATATATATATATATATATATATATATATGTATATATATATATATATATATATATATATATATATGTATATATATATATATATACAAACATATATACAGACACATATATACACACATATATATATATATACACACACGCACACACAAATATGTATACATATATAATTTAGTTAATTTATTTATTATTATAATATATTCTAATATATAATGAAATTTGTTGTGGAGTTTTAAAATGTATTTTTTTTTTTTATTATTACAAATTCTAAAAAGTAAATATTAATTAATAGTTCTTAGTATTTATTGATACTTTGTAATTCTAAAACAAATTTTAATTAGTTAATATTTTGTTGTTAATTGGTAAAAAATTGAAACATGTGTTGGATTAGTTGAACGTTAGTTAAATGCAATCCTATGCCATGCACTCACAATACTCAATTGAGGGAAGTTCAAATGATGTACCACCACTATATGATGACGTAACAAAAAATGAATTGTCAAATGGAAATATATCCCCTTTATGTCAATTACCTCCATACTCTGAAGTAGTTATCTTATCAGATCCGCCGCCAAGTTATCATTCAATTTTTAATACTCAATCAATTATGTCAGTGTTTGATTCTCAAGCCAATAATGCTGGAAGAGTAAACACTGAAACACCAGTAGTTAACAATTTTTTTTCACGCAATAAGATGTTTAGAGTTGTGTTAAATGGAACTTTATTTCTTCTTTTACTGACTTTTATTCTAGTGTTGCCAATAGCGATGATCATTATAGGATTTTTATATATTCAAGAATGTCCTGCTCAAAGAAAAATTCCATTGTATCTCATTTTGCTTGGATTTTTTCAAATATTAGAATGCTTTGGCCGGATTGTATACAAAATCTTTCAATCAAAGAATCTGACACATCCGAATTCATTGCAAGAAAGATGTCAGAAAAAAGATCCACTGGTTTATGTTGTTATTATATGGTTCATTGTTGGAAGTATGTGGGTTTATCAGACTAATCCTGGATGTAAAGATTGTAACAAGCTACCTAATTATATAAACTCTACTGGAGTCAACAATTCATACTGCAATAAGGTCATATATAATTTTTCTTTTGGAGTAATAACTTTGTATTATGGATTAATTGGAGTTTTTTGTTTTTTATTTTTGCTTGATATTACTTTACGTGCTGTACGTAAATGTTGCTGTACAAGACATATTGTTTAAATTTGTTACAAATTATTATTCATTTGAGTTTATTGATTATCTTATTTAGTGTTTATAATCTTGTTATTAAATATAGTTTGTTAAGTTATTATATAGTTAATATATTTGTGAGTGTATACATACATTTATAAACACCCCCAAAAAATTTTTCTAATAAATATCTGTATTGAGAGAATTTGTATTCTAAATTTTTATTTTGTTGTAAAATAAATGCATATAAAAATTCAAACTATATATATGTATTATATGTATATATATATATATATATATATATATATATATATATATATATATATATTTAACATTCTATTTAAAGAGTTTAAGATTGTATTTTATATATATATATATATATATATATATATATATATATATATATATATATATATATATATATATATATATATATATATATATATATATATGAGCTTGTATGTTTTTTTTTTAAATGTTTATTTGTATGTAGGTGTGCATGTAGGTGTTACTTAAAAATCATACTAAAATAAACATTGATAGTTACTTAAGCATATTTCAATAATCAGCATCTTTCTATATGAAAGAGTGCTATAAAAATACTAGTTTTATTACCTTTGGCATTGTACTCTCCTATGTAAAAATAAAAATGGCTGCAGATAGTACATACATTTACTAAGGATTAGGGTTTGAGCAGTCAGTATCTATGTTATATATATGATATATTACAGCTAAATATGTTTTAAATTCTGAATATATCACTATTTGCTTCTTAACTGAGTGCTGACCTTAATAATTGAGTTAACTGAATTAATTTATCTGTTTAATTTAGTTTTTCAAAAATGCCGACATTAATCCATAGAATTTTATACCATTTAAAAAAAGAAGTAAAAAAAACCTTTTCTGTAATAAATGTTTATAGATACTGTTTATCCAAATCTTCAGATGATATGTACTGAAGCCCTTTCAAGTGACTATTTTAACATGAAAAGATTGCCGATGTTTCATGCTCAACTAAATTCACATTTATTGAGATATGTAGATGTGTATATATATATATATATATATATATATATATATATATATATATATTTTTTCTTTTGTATATATATGTATGTATATATGTATATATATGTATGTATATATATATATATTTTTTTTTTGTATATATATATATTTATATATATACACACACACACACACACATATATATATATATATATATATATATATATATATATATATATATAACTTAAATTACTTGTTTGTCTTATTTTTATACTTTCATGTAAAATATTAGATTCTAAAGAGAACCTTAAAGTATTATTTATAATATCATGTAATCTAATGTTTATGTTTAATTTATTTGAGTTATTATATAACTGAACAATAGCATTTTTGCTTTTTTGAAGTTTGTAACAATTTCCATTTAGTGAGTTTCTGAAAAGATTAATATAGTTGATTTATATAAGGGATATTTTTAAATAAATATTTTTTTATATATATTTTAGTGTTTTTTATTGCATTGACTTGTGCTATAATTAAATATGCGTATTTTTAATTTAAAAAATATCAGACTGATTTTTATTAATTTTAATAATAACGTAAATTTTAAGGTGTAAACTAAGAATAAATACAGTTAACTCGGACTCGGAACGGGTATATATATTTTGTCCGACTTACCAAATGTCCGAGCCAAGCGAAGCTTTTGGTATTTATAGAGAATTCAAGGGGAATTGAAAATTTGTCCGACTTAGTAAAAGTCCGACTTATCCAGGGTCCGAGTTAACGGGGTTCTACTGTATACTAATTTACAAATGGAAGAAAATGACTCTCGTTCCCATAACTTTTTTAATACGGGTTTTCCGTTACATCTTTTGATATAAGACGAAATTAAAAAAGCTCTAGATATATTTCTATCTAAATTTTAAAGTTATGCGGCTGCAGTAATGGCGTTAATTATGCCGTGATTGCAAAATTAAATAAGAAAACGTCATTATGTAAACCTGTTTTAAATCACTTATATGTGGGAACATGCACATTAAATTTTTAGAATGTAAACATTTTTTAAGTTTCCATATTTTACTTTGATTGGCAAGAAACATTTACATACAATGTTTTGCTTCCACAGGGTTCCCACTACTCCTTAAGGGGGGAAACCCCCTCTGATTTTTAAATCAATTTTTACAAAAAAAATATTTGCCAAATAAATAGCATATATATAAAAAAAAAAAGGAAAAAAGTATTTAAAAAAATAAAATGGTTACCTGTTGCTATGGAAACCATAAAAAAAAACCAAAAAACAGCAAAAACAGGTTTCACGCCGGCCAATATTGTGGGCAGGGAACAAAACAAGCCAAGTTGAAATTTTTATATGGTGTTTACATAGAGTAGAAGAGTGTTTTAAGTTGAACAGAATTTTTTTTTACAAAAATAAATTCAGGCATTTTGAAGTCAAAGTTCAATATTCAATAATATAGTATTAAAACAGCATAAACAGGTGTAAAAAAAAAAAAAAAATAACTGTTCAACTTAAAACACTCTACACCATTTAATAAACATTCACTGAAAATTCTATGAACGGCTCTTGAATGGTTGGCGAGCAATTTTGGCCGGCGTCTTAAATACTTCATACTGAGAAAAAAGCAAATTAACATTTTTTTAATTAAATAACACCAAAACATGTAAAAAAAATAAAATAAAATAATTAACTTCTTTAAATAAAAAAAAGTATTTAAAATCCTCCTGGTTCATATGTTATACCCTCTTTTTCCAAATTTCATATGTTATACCCTCTTTTTTTCAAGTTTTTTTGTTCTATTTAGCTGTCGTCTCAACTTATTCTTTTCATTTATTTTATAATTAGATTGTTTTATTCGTTTGTTGTTTATTTTATTGAAACCTTTAACCCTAAAAGCTCCTGGTAACATGTTTAATTGTTCAAAAACTAACAATGAAGCTTTCATACCAATATTGAAATTCGCTACCGCATCATACACACCAAATTTCAAATTATCAAATGACAAATACCTGGTCTTTGGTAATCGGTCCCAAATCATATTGTTGAAGGATTCATAAGCGTTTGTAAAAGGATTCATTAGGAGTTTGTACTTGTACTGTTGAAGGATTCATTAGCAGTTTGTACTTATCTATAGATCTTAAAAATACACGTTTTGCACCAGTGAACTCCATACCGTTTGCAGATCCTTTGTAATTATTTTTACAAATGTAAGAATTTTTCCATTGGGCATAGGCTGTAGGGTTTGTTTTTAAAAGATCTTTCTTCAAAAAGCAACCTTTGCAAAACCTGCACATTGGTTCCACATCTAAAACTTTTCCATTGTTCATTGGTAATGCAGAAAAGACATCGTTTAATGATGAAAAGCCTCTTTTCTGTCAAGTACCATCGCATGACACACCAATTTTAAAAACATCATCATTAGCAGCATGTTTTCGCAATTCTGCTACTGCATCAAACATGGTATCTTCAGCAACTTTTTGTGTGACAGCACCTATTTTCACAGCTAATTTATCATAATTATTTTGTGTCATTGGTTGTGGCATATTTATTAAAGTGGTGAATTTTTCTATACCAGAATGTCTCTGTCCAATTGAACGCATTGCGTATACTGTTCTACAATAATTATCATATGCTCTGTTACATTGTTTTAAAGTATAAAACTCATTTTCATATTTGCAGTTATAGCACTTGACAATAAACTTTGAGGCAACTCCTTTTTTGTCTTGCATTTTTTCGGACAATGGCAAGGATAAACATTCACCACATTGAGGACATGCTAAAGCACTAAATATGTGAGATAATATAGAGCAACCTATAATCCTATATCCAGATATTTTCATTCTTGTAAAAGCTCTTGAACATTCAATTGGCTTTACCTTTTTCGCAGATACAGATGTAGAAAATAAATTTAACTCAGATTTGTTATTTACAGAGTTATTATTGACAGTTGTAGTATTTGAATCAATCAAAATTGTTACAGCAGGGTTATCATTCAACCTTATTTCAGTATTTTCTATGTCGAGACAGTTACTTCCCTAAGAAACCTCTTCTCTTTTTTTAATTATTGTTCTTGATTTTATTCTACAGACTTTTCTCATTTTTTAAAAAATATTAAGAAAGTTGACAACTTCAAATGCTTCAGAATAACAGAAAACTGTAATTTAACTTGATGAACCAGACTATTTTCGCTAGCTAGACGAGTAAAGAAGCCAAACCAAGCATTTCAATGTAGCTATTTAAAAATATACATTAGTTATTAAGATTTTAATTAAGGTGCTACACCGTAGCTATGGGCGTTGTTAGAGTATAAATTTTGAGTTACCTTAAGAAAATACAAAATTTGAAGGCCTAAATGATAAAAATTAGTATATAAACAAATATTTTTTTATTTTGCATACATTTAAATGCATAAATAAGTAAAAATATTTTTTACAAATTTTGGATAAAATTAGAGGGCATTTCCCCCTTAAAAACCTTAAATATCCTTAAAAGATAAAAACCTTAAATTTCCTTAAATAACCTTAAATAAAATTAAAATTTGACTGCACTCCTTAATTTCTCCTCATTTATTTTTTTAATCATCTAGGAAATTTGATTTAAATCAAGTAATACATTAATTTATAATAATTTCTGTGTTTTTATTTAAAATTTATTGAAAAAAATAAGATTCTGTTTTATTATAATCGTTTTTTCCTTAATTCTCTTATTTTTTCTTTCAAAAAATTGTCGCTCGCGACCAAATCTACTTAAATATTAGGAAAATATCTCCTTAAATCTCCTTAAAAGCCTTACTTTTAGCCTCAGTTTTAATAGTGTGAACCCTGTTGCATGTTTATAACATTAACTGAACTCATAAAGTTTTTTTTTAAAACATACCTTGGGTTTAATAAGGGTAATCTAGTTAAGTCTCAAATGCAAAAATTGACAATAAAACGTGTTTTATGTTAAGATAAGGTTGTTAGGGTTTATCAACTTAATTTTTTTTAACCCCGTCCCCTCCCTTTCGTCACCGTTGTCCTTTTTTCCTATACCACTTTAAAATGGATGTCATTAAATTTGGACCGCCCCCTCCCTCCTATCTTAATATTAACATATTT